ATTTGGTGACTTTTCCAGGCTGGAATAAAAGCATTTTCTATTTTTTTTTTGATTTATTTTTTGGGGGGCTTTTCCAACCTGAACAATTCCTTTTTTTTTTTTTTTTTTTGCCGTGATTTTCTGGATTCTCAGAGCTGACATGTTCGCAGGGAATTGTTTCAGGGCACGGAAAGAACCGGCAGAACAAGACACATCACGTTCCCCAAATGATAATGAGGAGAATTAAATTAAATTAAATTAAATTAAACCTTCCTTCCTTCCCTGAGAGCAGCATCCCCTCCACGGCAGCAATTTTTTATCACCCGTGGACGATCCAGAAATGAATCAAACCCCCAGAACTGGCGAATCCGGCTCAGATAAATTCCTACAGATAAAAATGATCCTCAGATAAAATTCCTCTTGTCCCAACCCAATAAAACCCGGCGCAATAAACAAGGGGCGTCACCATAATTCGTGTTAATTCCGGAATTGTTGCTAATTCCGGCCCAATTAGGAGATAAAAGACGGCGGTGGAGTTGATTAAATTACAAATCATCGCCGGGTTAAATCCGAGGATTATTTAATTTTTCGGGAAGACACTCGAGGTGGGGGAAAAAAAAAAAAAAAATAAACGATGTCAGGGGAGCAGGAGCGTTAATCAAAGTAATGAAAACATAAATTAGGAGAGGCTGGGCCAATAAACAGGGAATAAATGGGGTTGGAGAGAGGAAAAAAACCGCAAAAAAACCCCATAAAGCAGCGGCATTAAAGGATAAATCCGCGCTGTTGGGAGCGCGGTAAATTCCTTTTTATTTTTTTTTTTTCCCCCCCGGGATTGGATTTTCGGCTCTGATTTGTGGCCGTGTCCTGGCGAACCTGGAGGGGGGGATGAAAAATGTGAAAAATTTCCTTCAGCCCTCCCCCACTCGCCAGCCAAACCCTCCCGGGGGTCACCGAGAATTCCCAGATTTCTCCTGGAATTTTTGCGCCGTGCCAAGGGCGGGGGGACAAGACCCGGAATTCCCAGGAAATGGAGCGGGAATAGAGAGCGGGATGGAAATATCGGGATGGAAATATCGGGATGGAAATATCGGGATTTAATCCCATCTCGGCCTCTGTGGGGTGAAGAATGAGGGGAGCAGTTGGGGGATTTGGGATTCCAGTTTGGGATTTGGGATATTGGGGAGCGATTCCTGCCCGGGATGTTGGTGGGGTCAGGAGGGAGCTCGGCGGGATCGGTGATTGTGGGAGGGAAAGGAGCAAATCTGACCCCAGACCCGAACCTAAACCCGAACCTAAATCCGACCCCAAACCTGAACCTAAACCCGATCCCAAACCGAACCTAAGCCCGACCCCAAATCTGACCCCAAACCTGAACCTAAACCCGACCCCAGACCTGAACCCAAGCCCGAACCTAAACCCGACCCCAGACCCGATCCCAAACCTGAACCCAGACCCGAACATAAACCCGACCTCAAACCTGAACCTAAACCAGCCCCCAAACCTGACCCAAAACCCGACCCCAGACCCGA